GGCGATTTCAAAGGTAGGAGAGCAAATAAAGTACCTCCTTTTGCTTCAGCGGCCACCTGGTAATTTCATGGGGGTGCTCTTTGATTCTTGAAGTGTGAGATAGAGCAGGTAGCTCTTCCCTACCTTCTCCATGGCAATATTTCATCCTGCCCTCACTCCGTCAATGGCTGTTCCAGGCCGAGGAGCAGCCACTAAGTGAAGGAAAAGCAAGGGAAGAGCAGAGCAGGTGATGAAGAAGCAGAAGTGCCTTAGTGCCAATGGACACGTCCTCCCCCAGCACTGAGGGAATCCCCACGAGCGTCCAAGCTGTGGGGAGCTCGGAGCCAGCTGGACCCGTGACCACCCTTGTCCTAAGGGTTCGGCTGTGATCCAAGGCCTTCCTGATAGGGCCCAGCTGCACAACCCTTCCACAGGGTGCCCAGGAGTTTGTCAAACTGTGAGAAAGAGCACAGAGCCCTGCAGGATAAGGAAGATAAATGTGAGGACGGAGCATGAGCTGGAATCAGCAACTCGGATGGTCCAATATGGGTAGAGCAGAGAATGACCCTTCCAACCCAACCAACGCCTGCCTGGCCAGCAAAGGCTCCGTGGTGGGTCAGTATGGGCTTGTAGCTCAGTAGTCCTGGCTACCTTTCATGTGGATTTAAAGTGTAAAGAAGCAATCTGTTGGTTCAGTCATGTGCATTGCACCTACAGAGACTCTGCAGCATAAAGATCCCAAAGAAAGTGCCCCAGGGAGAGAGAAAGGGGTATAACATAGCAAGAAGCTTGTTTTTTTTTTGATTTTTTTTCATCATATCTAGATTTAAAGCTTCTTGATTTTTTAATAAATCACTGAGAGGCTGCAAAGAGAAAAAGCCGGTTTGCTCCATGCTAATGGAAGAATTTTGGAAATGGAAATTAAGAGAGGCAAGGGGAATGGATGAGGACACGTCCCAGCGAGTTGCTCCTTCTCTCTAGGCCCAGATTATGGGAAGGGAAGGTCAGATCGGGGCTGGGTCATGAGGCAACGTCATCAGAAAGAAATCCAGGTTGCTAAAGGAAAGGAGAGAGAATAGCAAGGAGGGTGATAACACGATCCTTTTAGTGCTCTACCCTCTCCATCTCTCCAGCAGAAGTTGCCACCGCTGTAATGGCAGGAGAGTGGCAGATTTTGGGATGTTTCTGGTTTGAAGAGGTCTGTTTACAGCCGGCCTCCCGAAGCCATCTGGCTTTTCATAGTTCAGTCCTTTTCCTTTTATCTTCCTCCTCCGAACGGTTCCAAATCAGCAGTTGGAGGTTTCACCAGGGTGCTGCTCAGGTACAACGTGTTCCCACGGCACAGAGAGCCCTTCCTCGCCCTGCAGGACGCCCGGAGCTGCAACACGAGGAGCAGAGGGAAGGCGATGAGGTAACTCACCCAAGGTGGCACGACGTGAGCTCCAGCCTCCGAATCCCAAATCCAACCCCGTGGGGATCCCGCTGCAGCGTCACAGCCTTGGGAGGCAGCTCATGAATCCCCGTGAGGTGCCACCTTGCAAACCCTCTGCGCACCTTCGTTTTCCACGGCATCATCACGGCGCTCACCCCCATGGTGCCAACTCAGGCTGTGGAGCTTTTCCCTTCCAGCTCGGTGGCTGTTTGTCCTTCCCACGTTCTGCAATCCGGAGGAAGGTGGAAAACAGCAGCACTTTAATTCAGCATTACCAGCACCTGCCCCGTTACAAAATCGCAGCTTTGCAAGTTGCTGGCAACACAGCCCAAGCACCTGGTAAATTTGATGCTGCATAAGCGTCCCTTAAGGATCTTCAAAGGAAAATCTTTTCCCAGCAAGGCACAGCTCCGTTTCCCTGTGCAAATACAAACCTAAAGGAATCGCAGCAACCAGAACCCTGTACCTACCCCACTATCATCCAAAGTGCTGTTTTCTCCTTGCAACAACTGATTAAATATCCAACACAAGGAGTTTTTCAACTATGATATCATGAAGTCTTGAGGGAAAAAGAAGGTTCAGTTCAAGCGTAGGTCTCCGTCTAGTGCAAGAGCATTTCAGTTATTCAAAGCTATTCCTACAGCCCATCTCTTCTGCTTGTCAGCAAAGTCTTCATTCCCAGAGCCCGGAGCCATGCAGGATACAGCACCAGTGACTGATACACCCAAAGCAGCACTAAAAACAGCACTGAAGACGTGGAGGAAACGCAATTCCCAAAGGCAAGTGGCACTCTGCTCCAGGAACCTGCTCTGAAACAATCCCCATTCCTGACAGAAAGCATTTTTTGACAAGAAAGCTTATATTTCACACCATCACAGATTTATAAACCTAAAAAAAAGTTTAAAATGTAATATAGCCTTTATAGATGTTTTACATTACTCCCTGATGCATCACACACAATAGTTTCCCATTTCAGGAAGGAATACCAGGTTCTGTACCCTATGTTATGCCCTTTCAGAACAGCCTCTTGCAAAAAGGCTGAGCACCTTTCCTGATCTACACCTTTCCACCCAGAAACTCTGACATGAGATGATTCTGTTACCTGCAGTGCTGAGCCCAGCCCAGCTGGTCTCACATGTGGCACAGCACAAACCCTGGGGCTGCATCTCCCCGAGGGGAGTCCTCGGGGATGCTTTGGATGATCCACCTCCTTGTAGGAGGCTCCCTTCCTCCCGTATCTTTTCCTTGCGTGAAGATTTATGTCCTGGATGCATCTGTCAAGCTTAGACGGTTGGGATCATTTTTTACAAGGAGGGAAAAAAATAAATTATAAAAAGCCATCCCAGCTTTATGAAGCCTGCTTGAAAAATTGGTACTGAAAACTCCTGCAGCTGCATCTTGTCAGAGCAAGGCATTCCTCGGGTGAGCTGTAAGACTAGTGGGCTGAAAATACGCCTGCTCTTTGTATCAGGGTCTACTAGCTTGTGCTTTACATTGAGACAAGTAATAGATCAGCTTCCAGCTACCCAAATTAAGTAGAAATTATGTATTTGTTCAGGGCTCTGTACCACTAATGTGATGGAGAGTGCTTTCAATTTTTGATCCTGTAGTTCAAGGGCTGTTGGCACTAACGTACAGCTGGGAATCCAGTGGCCCTTGCATGTACAACAGCTTCTGTGATTCACAAACCTGATTTTGGCAACTACTCCCTGTATTTTTAGGGCTGAAACAACATGCACGTTGCCACAGTAAGGTAATTAGTTCATTTAATGGGCATTTTGTTGCTATGAAGTGTCCCTCATGCTGCAGCCCTCTGTGCACTACAAAGCAACATCAAACCTTGTGCATTTGCAGCAGAGGATCTTGGCTACGACCCGAGAGGCCTCAGGGTGGCTGAAGAGGACACAATGAGGAGGACAGAGCTTTGGCTCCCTTTCTGTCAACAAGCACAGAAACGGCTCTGCCCCAAAGCACCAAACACCAAATTTTATTTCACCAACCTGGTAAATTCCCCACGGGAAGCCAACGGCATCTTTGGATCTTCTCTCTTGCTTTCCCTTCCAAGCGGAAGGTTTACTCACTAGATTAGCAACCAGGTATTATCCAAACACAAACAAACAGAAAGTGTTACATGAGGAAACGGGTTTTCTCCTCTTTAATGCAGTGCCCAGGCTTTCTGCCAGGACTTGAGGAAGCGGATACTGAACTGGATGAGCAAACCCCTCATTAGCACGTCCTGGAGCATCGGATGAAGCGATGGGAAAGCACCCAAGCAGGAGGGCATCCGAGGAGCATCACCTCTGGCTGCACCAGCCAAAGGCCACAGCCTCGTGGTGACATTTACACAGGAACCCTGAGCCACCAAGCACCGTCCAGCACTAGACACGTGTCGTCCTGAGCCACATGCAGCACCGAGAGGTAGTTTCTCCTCATTGTCTTCTTTTATTGCATGGGGGGGAAGTGGCAGCATGAAAAACAGCCCTAGAAAAGCACAAGAACCACTTGGTTTTCTCTTTTTCCGGCACGAAATAGCTCTAGCCCCAACGTTCTGGCTTTACGCTCCCTCCAGACATGTTCATGCTGCAGCGTGCACAGGTTTGTGGAAGGGGGATGCTGCACCACCAGCAGCAGCCACAGAAACTCCCTGTTCAGCGCATGGGGAGCCTGTGCATACCCCAGCCCTGGGGGTCAACAGGTTTCCAACACCTCAGCCAGGCCGCCTGTTCCCAGGACACTCGTAGGAATGTGGTTGCCTCCAAGTTCTCTGCTCCCAAGTCTGGTCCAAGCTGGGAATAGGGTGGAAAGGGGTGAGAGGGGACAGATCTTCAGCCAGATGACACAAGGTGAGGCTTGGGATTGAGGTTTGGAAAGCTGGGATGGAATTCAAGCAAATTGAGTGTCCAGGACTGCGTCCAGGTGGATTCTGAGCATCTCCAAGGATGGAGATTCCAGTCTCTTCCCACAACCTGCATCAGCATCTATCTCCCTTCACAGTTCCTCAGCACCACCGCTCCTTTCCTCCCAAATCCCCCCAAAAAGGTAAACAAAATTCCCCATATTGCACTTTGAATATGAGCTGAACATGAATATGAGCTGAAGCATCAGTGAGAGCTCACGCCCAAGTCTCACATCCACCCCCTAAAAACGAAGGCCATACTGACCCTGTGCAGTAATTAAAGAACATTTTTAGAGTCTTCAAGATTTTAATTCAGACAGACATTTCCACTGTGTTCTCAACAAAGCTACAGCAAAAGTTTACAGCCGTTTTATATCTGTTATTTCCCCCAAATGGATAAACAACTCCAGACATTACAGCTTTTTTTTTTTTTTTCCTGAATTTGTTACGTTTTTGCAATATATTGAACACCACAGGCGCTGGGATTCTGTACACGTGCAGTGTAGTTCTAACAGCAGCCCACAGCTCCCAACCCCGTTAATTTCAGTTTAAATCCAGTTCAAAGCAGCAGCCGCCAAGTCCAATCAGCAATCCCAGATGTTTGGATAGAAACACACTCCACCTAATTCCGAACTAGGTAACAGATATATAATACACATGACTTTACACACAGTGCCATCCAGTGTCACACAGTTACAAATCAAGTGGAATTGCCAGCAGAGACATCTTCCCTCGCACAGGAACCTGTGCACGACAGCACTTTCCAAGGCTTTAGCAAAGCATACGTGGGACCCAATATGCTACACAGTGCAATTTAAGTTATATCATATGCAACATGGACAATAGTGCACTTGAACAGATCGCCACATTCAAGAGTTTAAGCAATACAATCAACATTTTGCAGGTATGTATTTCCCTTTGTGTTCATGAAAACTGTGCAAGTTAGTTCCTCTTCCCTTTTTGGTTTATTTTTTGGTAAATGGCAGTGTCCACATCGATTGACCTAAGTGTTTTCAGGGGACTTTATGACCACCTCGTTACGTGGATCTTTAAGCACAAGGTTGGGGACGTGCAGGGAAGCAATGGGGGCTCCGGCCTGGAAGGCACTGGCCATGGAAAGGTCCGGAGGGAACATGCAACAAGGCTACCCACAAAACCTGGGAATTGTGTTCTCCTAGGAGGAGCTACCAGCGTCTGAACATCCCAGCCTAACTCCGGCACGTCGGGAAGGCGACTGTTTGGAAATGAAGCCTCTGATGCCTGCGCTTAGCTGGGAATGTGCTAAGGCAGAAAAGCGGGAAGGAGCTACAGGCCGTTCAGAACCACCCTGGTATTTAGCTTTAAGGCCAAGTGATCCAAAGTGCCACCGAGCCAAGGCAAACACACGCCACTCGTGGGGATGGAGCCCTGAAACGTGCGTGGAGGATGAACTCCCAGCTCAGACCGCTCTGCCTTGCGCTTGCTGTCACAGCTGGTTATCCAGCCTCCGCGGACGCGTGCAGGAGAGGCTGGAACAGCCAGGCACTCACATCAAAACACCTCTTTGCTTCTCTATTATTTACTTTGATGTCTAATTACTATGTTAGGAAGCTATATAACCTTTAAATGTTTTATGTATAGTCTACTGGGGGGAAAAAAAACCAGTCCCTTCTGAATCCTCATCTGACTAGGAATGGCGCGTTTCAGACTTACAGGCACAGCGGAAATTCTGGATTGGATGGGAATCCTACACCAGGGCAGGTGCAGACAGCACAGCCATAACTTTGAAGGGTACAAGCAGTAATTCCAAGGGCCTACGTCTCATAAATACCTGAAAGACAGTTCCAAAGTCAGGGGGTTGGCAGCAGGAGGAAGGCAGGGCCAACCTGCATCTCCATGTTATGTAACAGCAATCACTAACCTAAGAACTGTTCCTTGTGTCCATCTTGATTTAGTGAACAAGAGTGCCCTTCTTCAAATATATCTGATATTAAAACAAAGGGGGAATTATTTGACTGCCCTAAGGCTATTTCTGTTCAATGGGGATCTCGTTCTAAACCAGCCCTTGTAAATGAAACCATGCAGGTTAACTCTTACAGGGAAAGAAAGAAGAAACAAGGAACACTTTAGGACCAAGTTCAGGCTAGTCAAGAAGAAAATACTTAAGGAAACAAGGATTGAAATAAAAGGCATTCAGGTAGCATTTAAAATTACTGTCAAGTAATTTTACATAAATGATTTCCTTGGTTACAGAACACTTATAGGTCATGGGATTTTTGTAGACAATTGCTCTCCAGATGCTTTTAGGACAACTAAACACCCTCCATTCTCATATAGGTATAGATACACACATATTTCTGTAAAAGCAGCTTTTAAATAAAGGCATCTTTGTTCCAAAACACAAAAAGCCATGGCTAAGAGTAGATCAACTCTTTCCAAGGAAGTCAACATCGACCCAATGCAGCTCCTTTCATTTCAGAAGCAGGCAGCTAACAGCAAGGAACTCACAAGGTAGTCCCAGCCACATGATCCATTTAATCCACATCTTCTTGGTCATATAGACCCAGCAATGGAATCAAACTGAACAAGTGTCCAGATAATTATTTCAGATTTATTCTTGACTGCCTTATTAAAGGAGAAGAAAAAGTCTCCAGCAAAGATCAGAATTAAGAGGCAAGTTGCAGACACCAAGAACAGCTACAGAAGACATGAACTTGAAAAAGAGCCGATCCCTAATATTTTTAAATAGTTTAGCAGCTAAAAGTGATCTAAACAAAGGAGTATTTTTGTAGTGATAGCTTTTTAAGTCGCAAAAGATACCTGATATGTTAGATCAGACCTACTTTATCTTTTGCTTTTGATTGTTTTTTAACATGTAAAATACTTAGCATGAACATGAAAGGAAAAAAAAAACAAAACAAAATATACACACCTGGAGTAAAACTGTTTTGCTGAGTCTTAAATTAAGAGCTACTGTACATGTTTTCTCACCCTAGTAATGACATGAGTCTATTTAAACTTACGAAAACAGCCAGTGCAACCAGAAGTTTCAAGATCAGCGCAGCTCTAGTTAAAAGGACGGGTCCAAGTCACTGTTTTGCTCAGCCAGTGGACACCTTTGCCAGCTACTTAACCTCTGTTTTCCAAGCAGAAAAAAAAGGGAAAAGGTTATTTGTTGAGAGATTTGTTCGTGGGCACAATTCCACCTGAAGGTCATGGATTAATTGCTAACGGCAGAATCCCTACCTTAATTCTGTATTGCACTGAAATTTCTTGCCTGCTTTGGAAATTCAAGTTACTGCTCCCAAGCCAATGCTTAACACAAAGTCTTGTGCAAACGCATAAGAGATGGTGTGATTTAACTAAAAGTTCTAGATTTTCCAAGAAACTGAAGAACTAGGCTGCCTTAGCTACCCTTGGTGGGAGGGAAGAAAAGGTTTTTGGACAAAATGCCTTTATCTCCCTATCTATAACTGTGTTTTATTCCTGCTAACGGAGTGCTTGGAGAGTTTAACAAAAACAGAAAGGTCCAAAATAAATCCGAAACCTCCTGTCTCTTGGCCCATCCTGGTCATCCATAGAGTTGGACAGAGGTGAGAGCTCCAGCTTATACCGACACTGTACCCAATTTATTAGAGCCAGAGAAGCTGCCAGGAGGGGACAGCACGCCTGGTTGTGCACGTCTTCTGTAAACAAAACTGATCTCTCCCAAAAAAGCAGGGACGTGTACATAGTGTGAAGGTTTCAGCAGTGGGAGGACTGAGGACCTGTTGCACCGGAGGGCTCTGCAACACATGCACTTTCCATGTCGAGTCTTTAGTGTAAGGAGTTGAAAGGAAACACCCGAGTCCAAAGCCCTGCAAGCTCAGGGGTTCTCCTGCATCCCATCATCTGTCTCCAGCTCTGCTAACTGCCTCCTCAGTGCATTAACCTTGGCCTTGAGCTGCTTGTTGTATTCTATAAGGGTGACCATTTCTTCATAGGCCTCGTCGAGGAACTTGGAAGACCTGTTCCACCGAAGAAAGACACCTGGAAGCCCAGAGGGAAGCAAAATCACAAGGGGCTCTTTGTTACAAGCCAAAAATGCTCTTCATATTCCTTCAGCTCATACAGGCAGCATGATGCAATCCACATTTTTTCCCCCACTCCCCTAAACATCACTTTGAAGTACTGACTCACCTCTCAGGATTCATCACTCCCAATTAAATAAGGTTAATCATTACAAACAGGGATTTTTTTGCCTTCCTTTGCCTTTAGTAGCCACTGCACAAACACTGCACACAGAAGGCACAAGCCTGGCTTACCTTCCCAGAGCTGCAAGCTCTGTGGGGCAACGGAGGGCCAGATGACCAGACTGTTGGCCTCAAAAAGAGGATTCTTGTATTTGTTCAGTTCTTGGGGCCTGTTCACCCAGGACCACAGGGACATAGTCTTTGTCTGCAGCTTCAGTTTAGACCTAACGAACCAAATATGGCCAAGTTAGCTTTCACATTTCCACTATACAAACTCACTTTGCTCTGTCAGAATTCTGCAAATTAAAATATCCCAAGTTTTCCCACCTGCTACTAGCCCAGAGAAATCAAGGGCAAGTAATTCAGTCTAATCCCATTCAGTAGCATCTCACCAACATGAGAGTGAAATGGTGATGCTACTTACTCTACTCAACCTTTGCAATTTATTCCGAAGAAGAAATGGCAAAAGTGACTTTTTAAATTGGGAAACTGTCTTTTGTCCAGTTAAAGAATCTACCTAAAATGGTACCTACCTACTCTACCTGAAATGGTCTGATATGTTTTGAAAGGAACTGAATTATTATGTTGTTGTCAAAATAGAGCTATTAGGGATGGTAAGAAAGGATCATAACACAGTTCTCAGGGTAAATTAAAGCAGGATAATTGCTGGAATTGCACAACTAACAAGCCTGATGAGTTCCCTCTGGTGGCAGGAAGCCTCAGAGCACAGCAAGAAGGCAGTTCTGTTATCCTGCCTTAAATCCACCTCCAAGAGGTCTCTATTAAGGCTCTCTATTCCTTAGATTTTGGCAAACTCCAGCCTGCTTGCATCAGCAAATGGAACTGCGGCTCCAGGGGGAGATTTGCTGTCCCTGTGCTTTCTTCAGACACCACAAACTTAACATCAAAGTTCTGCACTCACAGGCAGGCATATTCAGATGTGACAGGCAGATTATTACGTGTAACATCCAATGCTCTTTAAATTTGGCTTTGTTGGTTCTAAGTCCAATTTAGTTTAACAGATGACCAGCTGAGCAGCCCTGCAGAAGACAGTCCCTTCTAAATAGAGGTTACTTTAAGGGCAGAGAGGTTTCTAGGAAGTTTTAAGCTGCATTTGTCTATTTGTATTATCAGCTCTACTTTCCCTTCTACTCAATTCAATGCTCTTTAGCTTAGGAGATCCAGTACATACAGTCTTACTGGAACCCACAGGCCTGAGAATAAAACTAAGCTCAAAATAGGAATTCAAACCTCCTTTGGCATCACAGGAGGCTCCTGTCCTCCCTGGACTCAATCCTGTTTAATACTCCTGCCAATTCTACTCGGTGCATACTCAAAACCACCCCACTAGCAGTGCTCCTCCTAAACCTCACCAGGGTTCAGAAAATAAGTGTTGACCGAGACAAGTAAAGCCACAAGCTCAGCACAAGTCTAACGTTATCTGGGCAGGCAGACTGCAGCAGGAGGCAGCGCTGGCTGCTTCCTTTAAAAAAGTGGAAGAGCTTCATCCTGGTCTTTTTGAAGCTGGGCCTCTGCACCTCCAAAGAAACCTCAAATCTAATAAAGATGCTGGAGGCCCAAACGAGTAACTAAAGCACAGATCCTTCTGACAGGACCCCTTCAACATTTTTCCACATGCCACAGTTCACAGATGATGCAAAAAAAGCAAAGCCTTGAACCAACAATCCCCCCTTTCCCTGGTGTTGTGACCACCAGGCTACAGAATCATGTTCCTCCCTGACAGTTATTACAGGAACCAAACTTTGCAGTTTTCACCTCGAATGTCCTTCACGTTCTCCCTCAGTCCTGTGCTGACAGGTTTGCTCCCCATAAGCCTGACTTCTGTCATTACTGAGCTCCAGCTGTTAGTTCTTTTATGGAAAGAATCACAGAATCCCAGAATGGCTGAGGGTGGAAGGGACCTCTAGAGATCATCTAGTCCAACCCCCTGTTTTGGCTTATTGGGCACTTTACCTGTGCTATAAGAGCCTGCATAAACACCCCACCCTTTTATCATACCAAGGGACCTTTTCTTTGCCAGATGCAGGTTCTGAGCAAGCATCCTCACCCACCTCTCGTTCTCGTTGTTGCCCAGGAATGTCCCGAACTGCGAGGCGTAAGCGTGTTCGAAGAGCATGATGAGGAAGTGCTCGTTGAACTCGAAGGAGCAGGGGAACTGGCGCAGGATCTGCCACACACAGTCCAAGAAGAGGAGGAACACCGGGGCTTCCCACTTCTGCTTGCTGTTCGAGTAGGCTGACTGGGCACAGCGCTGCTGAAACGGGTGGCCAGCCTGGAGGTAAGAAGCAGAGAGCATCACACACGGCGTAACGGGATGCAAATACATCCAGCAAAAGCCATTTCGCTCTTTTTTTATGCTATTAAAAGTCTTTCCTACAGCTGCACTTTGGCAAAGCATGCGGAGCCATTTCTCTCCATGCAGCTATCAATACTCTCTTCCTGCAACTGCAGTTTGGTCAAGCATCCAGTAACAAATTGCTAGCAATGGTGCCCATTTCTGGCTATGTAAGTAGCATTACATTTTACTATAGAATTTTATTAGAGAATACAATTTATCACAGAATTTAATAAGAATGAACTGGTGAAGGGGCCCTAAAGGACCAGACTGAGGACATCTGCAGTGAGAATATAAAGAGTGGAACTGGGGATTTGTGTTTCAGTTTTGTGTGCTCTCAAAAGAGATGTCAGAACTATGCCCACAAAACAGAACTCCCCCAAACCAAAAGAAATACCATGAGAGGCAGAGGCTACACAGAGTCCCAGAGGGACAACGATTCAGTAAGGCTGCTGCTCCTTAGGACAAGGGCTGCTCACACGAACAGGACTGCAACAAGTTCCAGTCTTTTTGCTGACTCCCAAGCTCCCTCAGCACAAATCTCTCTTCAAGAGCTCAGCATTTTGTTCACGTGGATATTGCTGCTTCAAAGGCACTTCTTACCTGAAGCCACTCTCTCACAACAAGCGATTCAAAGCCACGGATGGTCCTGCATCTTGGGTCCAAGATAATCTGTGCCAGAGAGGTTACCTGGAGTGTAGAATCGGTCCCTTCAGTCCCATGAACTAAAACTGAGGCTCCTTCCCTGAGAGAAGGGTGGAAAGGAATAAGAAATAGGCACAACACATCCCATGGATGCAGGCAGCCCAGCGGATGCCAATACATCTAGACAGTAATGGCACCACCCTGACAACACTCAGGTTTTGATGGTCTTCGCCTCTTCTTCCTCCACCTCTTAAGCTTAAATCTCATGACAAACACAAGGATAATTCCTCCTTCACCAACACAGTGCTATGGGAGTCCTGCTCACACCTGGGCTCGGTTGCATTAAAGCCTCCATGGAGCTTATGGCAAATAAAAACAAGCCATCCAGTGAAGACATGAAGGGGGGATCTTGGTCTCCTGGAAGTTATTTGTGCTGACCAAGGACAAAGTTGACAAAGAGCCAAGCACAAGGGCTTCTCGCTCACCAGCCAGCACAAGAGAATCAGCAGAACAACGTGAGGAGCAGAGGGAGCCAGGGACACGAGGGCAGGAAGCCTCTCCACACTGCTGGGGTGCCATGGGCTGTCACTGCCCACACTCCCAGGGCTGCTGGCCAAGCTAGCTGATCCCCTCCCCTCTTCCCAAATCCTCGCCTGTGTTTGGGTATAAGTCAAGCACTCCTGAGCAAGGACCAGGTGGTATTAAGTGACGTTTGTCCCTCCCAGACCTTGGCACAGGGTCTTATTTGTGGGCAAAGCCTTACACGTAGAAAGGAAACTAGGTGCTGGTTGTGTATGTTACTGTGTGGAAACATAAGCTAAGCTGCAAAAGCATGGGTGAAGAGAGAGAACTGCACCAAGCAAGTAACCCTGCTGATGGATCTTGCTGTTTGAAGGCAAAAGCCATGCTTAAGGTGTAGATTGTTTTGCAACATCCTCATCCATAGCTCTGGGTCTAAAAATCCGAGTGCCTCTATGAAATCATCTTCACCAAGTGTCCTCTCCTCATCTCCCAGGCCTTGGGGGATCAAGAGGCCTCTCACTGCAGCTCTCCTGAGCACAATTGCACAGGTTCCCTGTCAAATCTACGCCCTGCCCAAAGCAGGACACGCGACCACAACGTTGCCATAACCTCCACCTTAAGGAGGTGCCGAGATTCCTCCCACAGTGCAGAGATCTCTCCCAGCCACCCCCTGCCCTGGAACCAGTAAATGCACCTGAAATAACCTCCTCAGCTTCAACTGCAAGCAAGCGGCTCCGCCGTCCCGGGCTGGCCGGCCACCCCTCCGGGTAAACAGGTAAACAGAGAGGTTTGAGGGAGGCTACGAGTGACGAAACCACCTGATGTCCCAACACGCCGGGGGACTTTCGTCAGCGATCTCTCCCAGTACGTGAGGGGAAAGAACTGCAGATAAAACCATCGATCGAGAGCAACCCTTTCTGGCCATAGCTAAACGTGCAAACTGTTCCTTTCCAATGACACAGCAGGTAGTATTTTAAAGCAGTAATGCTGTTTTACCAGCGAGACTGCCTTTCATTCTACTTGTGCGTCTGTGGAGTGGATTCCCTGGCTGGAAAAAGCAGCTCAGGGTTCACAGAGCTTTGGGAAGATCATTCTCCCTTCATGGCCATAAAGGGACTATGAGTGCAGCGCTCTGCACAGTCTCACAGACCCTGGCACCTGAGCACTGGCTAAAAACTAGCTCTCCAGCCTGAGGTCTGAACATGTTTCGAGGACAAGTTAACCAAATTAACAGCATTTATTTAATAACTGTCAGGTTAAGAGAGGTCACATGCCATTTATAAAGGGATGAGCAGGATGGCTCGGAGTGGACTATGGAGAGAAAAGTTTCATGAGCAAAGGACCAATTGGTCATAGGACCAATTCCTGAGGGAAACATTCCCATTTCAAACTCCAGAAGCAAGGTGGTGTACTGGAAAGTTTCTACTGGAAAAAAAACTATTTTTTAAAACACTGTGTATGTGCTCATTTTACTAGGCAGCCACAACAGCACGTCGGAGGGGCCCATTCCCATCTAAACGTTCAGCAAAGCAAGCTGAAGCAGCCATACCGAATCAGACATGGGAAGAGATCTCAACCAGATGATCTAATAGCTATTCTCAGTTATTTTTCCCCCCGCTCAGGCTTGTACTCATGAAGATGTGAACATGATGTGCTGGAGGAACATTCCTTAACTGTGATGATGAAAGAGTATTTTCCACAGGTACATGCAAGCTGGCTTCATGGTAGCCCATTACTAAGTGCCTACACATGAAAGGAGTATTTAACAAGAAACCTGTAACAAGTGAATGAGAAAAAAAAAATGAAAGATTTCTGAGAAAAGAAAAATTATTCACCTGTCAATACACTGAGCGGCCAGACAAGCTGCAGTCAGTATCTCCTTGATGTGAGTCAACCAGTTAGAGGCCTCCAGTTTACTGAGCCAACGGTCCATATTGTGCGACTGGTCATTACAGGCTTCCACGAGCTTGATGAGGCTTTCCTGCAGAATATTGAACCTTTGGGAAAAGAAAAATATTATTAAAAAGAACACAAGCAGTGGCACAGCAACTGGGCCAAGGCACGTGCAAAATGACATTCAAAGATCATGATCTAGGAGTTAGGGACTGAGGTTTATATGCTGTTACCTCTACAAAGTCTCGCTGTATGAATTTGGATCTCTTCACTCAAACTTGCTTTTGCTGGGAACTCCAAGCACAGCTAACAAGCAGCAGGATGCCACTCTTTGGACACAGGCTGTCACAGTCCTTTAAGGACAGGAGCTGCTTCATGAGGTATTAAAATACTGCAGCATTTTTCCTATTTCCCACAAACTCTGTGTGTGCTCAGGCATATTTATAAAATGTGTTTCAAAACGTCTCATTAACAAACACAAGTGTGACTGCAATCTGGTATGTGCATTAGCAAATATCTTCATTCTCTGTATCAACACCAGAAGTCTCAGGGTTTTCTCTCCCCCCCACACACAACACTGACCTCAAAGTTGTTACCACAAGGATGCAACCCCACTATAGACACAGAATATTTTTAACTAGACTCAACTTCTCAGCATAGAGCTGCATGAAAATCTGTTTGGCTGCATTCTTTACATGAGAAAAGGAAGAAGGTTATGCATTTTGCTTTAGAGCTGTTGTGACACATCCTCAAGCCTTAGAAAAATGGTAAATCAGGCATTTCTCTCCTTGTTGCACACTTTTTCAGGTGCACTGAGTTACTGGTGGATCGAGTGCTGCTTAAACATGGATTACAAATGTAATAAAGCAGGCAGCAAGCAGATAAATCAAAGTTGTGTTACTTGGGGATACATAAAACAAAACACAAGACACTGATGTCTAAGTCCATCTATAAAAGAAAAATCAACACCATGTTCAATTCCATCTAAGTTTTCCAGAAGCAAAAACAAATAGTTAAAAGCAAAGAGCAGGAATTCCCCCTAGCTCAATAGCTGGTCTACACAGGGATGGAGGGATCAACTGCTTTTCTGTCATTCAACATTACTGCAAGCCCTTAGGGAAGGATTCCCTGAAACTAAAGGTTAAGAGCAGTTGTAATAGGTCAGAACAAAGTTTACAGAACTTAGTAACTCGTTTCCAAGTGGCCAAGCACTATTAAATGACCAGAGGAAAGTGCAGGGTAGGAAAAACGTGACTGCCACAGAGCACAGTCCTCACTTCCAGAATTTTCCTAGCAAAGGACCTAGCAAAGACGAACACAAGAAACTGCTGCAGCTACAGATGGCCAAAGCAGCATATTGCTCAGGGAGATTGCCTGATGCCCGAGAGCTGTAGCAGCAGCAGCAGGTTGTTGAGAAACAGAAACCAAATCCAGGCTTTCTGATCCACACAGCCTTTTTGCTGAAGATTTTGTTGACAGCAATCAGGACATGTAGCCATTTCTTACAGCGCCAGAGCCACTGCAGGAAGCCAGCGTGGTCAAGCCTTGTGCAAGGAGGCCCTGTGAGATTCCACCCACCTCTCGATGGATTTGTGAATCCTCCTCCACTGGGGATAGTGAGCTTCCTGCTCAAAACCTCCTCCTTTGGCCCTGGCCTGCTGGGCGACGTTGAGGGACCTGGTGTCGATGATGTAGCCCCGCTTGCCCGCTCGCAGCGTAATGGGGAAACTTAAAAGACACTGCGGATTCAGGCCCCAAACCTAGAACACAGGATTCAATTCACCACACAGAGAACACACCTCCACATTTGCTAGCCTGTGAACAGACTACAAACCATCCCATTAGATCACTGGGGCTGAACTCCAGGAACAGAGCTGCTCTCTAGAGAAACGTGCACTTAAATTCAAAGAGGACACTCCTTCTTTCCTTTACAGCTCTGGTCACTAATGATGCTGACTAGGATGAGATGCATAAACCGTAGTTTGGTTCCTCCATCATCAAAATTCAAACTCTCCTCGATCTTCAGCTCTTCTCTGTGGATTTACACCAGCATGTGCAGCTCTCATCCCACTGCACTTCTCACTTCTGTCTGCTTCAAGTTCCACATCTGGACACAGATGAGGCAAATATTCTCGCTGCAAACCTGATGCACAGAAACAGCACCCACCATTTATCAGGTTCTTCCTATAGCTCCTGTTCTCCCTTGCCCTGGATCTTATAGTTCTTTTTAGACTCTGTAAGTAGTTGCCCATAACTTATCTAAAAAATAAACTAGAAATCCTTGAATTAAGCATTCATTCAGCAAGCTACTTTAAGTAACACACATCTTCTCAGAGGTCTATTGCCTTTAATTATTCCTGTAACATTATCTTTGCTGGCCTCCTGCTGATGCCTTCTTAAGTAGCCAGCGTTTTTAGGATCATGATTTTTAATGTCTTTATAAGCCTGTTTTTAAAACACTCAACTCATTTCCATCTGAGGTTACAGTTTTATTCGGTGCCTAGACTAATAAAGCCCAGGTCCCCAGAGGTATAAACTGGGATTTCTGCTCAGTAAGTGCCTTTGTATCAGAAAGCTACTGCATCCCAGCAGCTCAAACGTGAGGCAGCCAGGCAGCAAGGGGAGCTGCTCTCACAGACTCAAAGCAGGAGAAGAATATACGTGACAGGAAGCATTCCTGTCACAGGATCAAGCACTCCAAGCTGAATTCTAACATATTCCTCACACTTGAAACACACACAGTTCAGAGATGCAATTGAGCAAATCCTCCTTCAACGGTTTGCAGACAAGCAGAAAGAGCAGAAAGCAAAAGTATTATGGAATTAGTGGATGGCTGATTTTTAGGCAGGAAAGAAAAGCAATATAGAGCAAACTGCTGGGTCAGGCTAGACATCCTCTAAGTCATTGCAAATCTTGGCAACTGGAGGTGAGGACACATTACTGTAGTTGACTCAGGAGCTTGGCTGAGTCAACAGCCTCCTGAGTTTGGAGGGTGCAGAAGTTGGACACTCCAGCATCCTCACTACCAGTTTAAAAGAATTACTCAACTATTTTTCATAGTGCGTTTCATAATTACAGCATGCTTCAGAGGTATAAATAGCTCAGTGAGGTTTTAGCTTGTTGAAAGGTGGCAAATCTGTGTGAGAGCAAGAAATTGCTACTCCCGAACCCTACTGAGAGACTTGGAGAGCAGATTGCTCCGACGGCTCCTGTGAAGGAGATGGCCACTACCCAGAGACAGGAAAAGGTGGTTTCTGCCATCCTTTCATCATGGAGCCTCTTGGCAGGCAAAGCAAGAGAGGGAGCCAGTGGTGGCTTTACAAGTCCCATCTTGCTCAGTGCTGAGGACAAGCTCATGACAGATACGCTCCTAAATAAACAGATTAGCAGTTATTTCTGATTGCATGTTACTCCTTCCATCACCCAGAACTAGTTTCACCACACACACTCAGAAATAAGCTGTGAAATAATAGAAGTGAATGCCTCGTGAACTGCATTAAATCTAGAGCACAAGTTATTTTTTTCACTGACTAAGGCTGGAGAGATCTGGCCAGGCTCATATACCCACTTCAAGCACAACTTACCATACCATTCTTCTTATGATAATAGCTGAGGACCGGGAAGCGACCGCCGTGGCGGAACGCGGCCACCTTCCGCAGCGCTTCGTCGTCAATGGATTTGGGGACAATGACGACTGCAGGGTAGGAGGGACAGACAGAGAATTCCTTATTGATGCAGCTCAGACGCCATTCATCTGTCTGAAAGAGATGAGAATATTAAGGTTTTGTGTCAAAAAATGCATACTGCTGCTATACGGTATGGTGTTAAAGAAGAGGAGCTTCTACTTTCAGAATAAAACACAAACACACAAATTATCCGTGTTTTATTCAACTGACACCACAGATAAAACCTGGTTGTCACCACTGGCAGTAACAGTTTTGCTCATCCAGAAATTGGGAGTCCCCTCCCCCAGGCTAATATGCTGGCGGGTCAGACCAAAAGTTCCTCAGCACAGAAGTCTGTCTCCAACAGTGACATTAAGATGCCATCTAGGAACAGAAGACAAACCTGACTCCCCAGATGAGATATTAGAAGGTATATATTCCCACCTGGCCCATTTAGTGTCCATTTATAGGTCTGTTGACTGATTTTTCTTGGTGTTTGTCATAATATCTTGCTGCAGTAGCTAATTATGCTGAGTGCAGATACTTCCTTCTGTTGCCTACAAGCTTTGAGTGACTCCTGTTCTTGAGACATGGGATTTTTTGAACACCAGGTCCACACTTGGTACATCCACATCCCCAGTAAACAGCACCCAACAAGCCCACATGGTCAGGAACGGGGATTTATGGCTTTTAACCCTTCCTTGGGTACAACAGGCAGCAAGTCTGTGCTATACAGGACAAAATGATTTACAGCTCTTCCTGCAAAAGCCCTTCCTGGAACTATCATGTCACTTAAGTGCAAAGGTCTCCCCGTGAGCTCCAGTTAGGTAATTCTGCAGCTTCCAGCAGCCAAATGCTTGGGAAAAAAAAAAACACTGCCACCCCGCACCCAGCAGGTGATATTTCTGGCAGCCACAGAATACCAGATACCCAGGGCCAGACACAGGACTTGGTGACAAACCCAAAGGTCAGCGAGCGGCCACGTCGACGGGGAGCCCTCACATACTGAAATCCAGGCTGGAATTGCGGGCACTGCTCTCACTGCTGGCTGAAAACGGGGAATTCACAGTCTCAAACTGCTTGGGGGCTGCGTGAGGATACCATCCTCAGACAAGAAGCAGCAACTGCAAGATTTTAGTCCAGATTTTTGCACACTTTGGTCTCAAATGCAGTTTTACTCCTCAAAAAGAGAGGCTGCTCAGCAAATGCTGGGGACATAAAGGGCTTTCGGGGATTTATTTGCTCCAGAGGGGCACAGAGAGAGGAGCTCACAGCAGAAAAGTGCCTAAAGTTTGGCCTAAGACTGAGCTCTCTGTGCCCTCAAGAGCAGGGACAGCTTTGCTGGGCTGCACTTTCAGCTGATGCATCCCCATTCTGTATTCATTATATCCAACAAAACCTGTGGGCACAAGCTTGGCAGAAAAATGACCCAGAAACCTCTAAAACATGCTTTGATTTTAACAAACTCTTAAAAGTAGCAGCCAAAACAGCAGTCGGATTTGCCCATGGAAAGCTCCAGGCAAAGAAAATTAATAAATAAAATGGAATTTAAAAAGCCTTCCAAAGAGCAACAGATAGAAAAAGAGACTTTGATGGCAGCTATTACTAAGCAGCAATGTGAAACAGGCATCAAGTGCAAGGAGGACCCTAAGTAACTCCTCAGCTGTGGTGTTTTGAGCACGGATGATGAAGCATGAAGATGAAGGCAAAAAACAAAAGCTCTGTGGTAGCCTTTGAGGGACTGTCTGTCAGCGATACCACCACTATGAAAGAGGATCGACCTGATTTATATCCCACTTTGGTAATTTAACTCTGCCCAGAACCTCCTCCTCTCCCCATCTACAACATGGGGCAGATGATACCATTGTGTCATCTGGTTATAATTTACTGTTATATGGGGAGGAGGAGGAGAAAGGCATCAATTAGCACCATTTGTCCCCTGGAACATATCGACTTTTGCAGAGATCCAGTTAATCTCTGCAGTGCCAACTTCAACTTGATAAAACATGAAGTAGATGATTCTAAAACCCAACCAGTGAAAAATTCTCTTTTACTGTACCTGTAATTCTCAGAATTAAAGTATCTGCCATTGCTAACTAGAAGTGTGAGGGGGGATCAGTTCAACTACACCCAGCAAGAGATGCCGCTGCAGGAAGAAGCAAGGACGTCAGGAAAATAAAAATAGGTTTCCTCCTTAGAGATCAACTAAAATCACGCAAAATGAGACTCAAAGTGCCAAGCTAACATTTATTGATCCTCACAGCAAAAGAGATCTGTACTTTTTAGGCCTACAGAAAAAAAAACCCAAAAGCAGGAAACACTGAATTCAAGCTCAGGTAGGCAGTGGGAAAGGATTGCGGAGAGGACTTGATGGAGAAAGCAAACAAGAATAAACACCTGTTTCACACAGGACACAGGATTTAGTGTTTCTCATGTTTGCACTTGTCTTGTCCTAGCATTTGTCTGGAGATACTGACTTCCAAATGCAACCGAAAAGCTGCAGTAAGTTATTCTCCTCCCCAAACTTACAATACCAAAAAAATAAAGAAGCCTCTTAAGAAATTAATGTAAAAGAATTCAAGCTTCACTAAGAAGCCTTCAAGATAAGCCAAGACACCAGCAGGCATCTGGGAGATGCTTGCAAAGCAGCAATGACATAAGCTATTACTAAGGAAGAGGCAGGAGGCAGCAAGGCCTGTTAGTAACAGGGTGCATGTAGAGCAGGAACACAACGACAGACGTGGGCAAGGGCTGATGCTCGTCAGCAAAACATGGGCGGCTCCTGCCACTGCAAGCTGAGCACAGAAACAGAAAATCCAGCTATTCTTTAGAAGCTTTAAGGTGCTACAGGAAGCAGAGTTAAAATGGCCAGAGCGCTAAGCTCTTTCCTGCATAGACGACATGACAAAAATAGAGAGAATAAAGAAATTTAGTTTGGTGGCAATGAAATACCTTCATGTTAATGACACAGCTATTGCCCAAACTCTTCCTCAGGACCATAAACTGCACATGAATTGAAGGCTAAACGCAATCTTCAGAATTGATAGCACTGTTACAATATCCTGCAGTTGCAGAAGTTAACAGGAGGGAAACCTCTCCATCCTGACCTGTTAAATCTTCTGACTCCTCAGAAAATAGGAAACCCAGTGCACATACTCTGTAATCCCATCTAACCACTCAGTTATGCAGTAGTGCAGTGAGGAATAAAGTTTTTATACAAATTACACCTGGGATCCTTGCAACCACCCAAATTGCAGGCACTACCTAGTGCTTCAAGAAGAAAATAAATAAATCATGAGCTGGATGAGCAAACATTAACTGTTCTGTGCATCTCCTGCACCATTCCTCTATTTGTCAATGGTACCTTTAAAGTCTCATCTTTGAAGTAATTTGGAGCCAACTGGCACAACAGTTTTTGCTCCATTCCTGTGACATTTATGTAAAGGTATCAGCTAAACCTTCCACAGATTTGCAATGAGCTACTGGGTCTATTGAAATGTTGGATTTATTTGAACAGCAGTGCAAGGACTAGATGCTTGAGAAAAGCCCTTATAAATATTTTAATTATAATGTATGATTACATCCTGATATCTATATTATATTAGACAGCTAAATAACTTCTTCAGGGTTTACTTGGCTGCTATGGCACGGGCTCAGAGGTTTAAAACTCACATGCAACACACAAATATGGAATTCATAACATACTAGAGGTGCACTGGGGTGAAATGCAGTTGTTGACAAGCTGTTACCATATGGGGAAGGCAAAACACAACAGATCCAGATGGATGATTTAATGGAGAGGGAGGTAACCTTCTGTATTGCACTCATTTGACTTTTCAGAGAGAAAGAAAAATGTAATCAGCCATTCACTTACTCCAGCCTGTCACATAAGGAAGTGTAATTACAGAACAAGCAGTATTTGGTCAACAATATTTTTAGCTGCTGTTCAGGAAAAGTAAATCACTTGAACACAGCTTTTGTCACCATTTCTTCAACAAGGAGTTGCAGCTGAAGTGTTTGGCTTAAAAGCCAAGAATTAATCAACAGCTGTTAGCCAAGCATATTTAAAGGAATGAATTATTGCCCTTGAAACTTATCACTATAAAAAAAATGGGTTTTTTTGTTGTTTTAAACATATGCCTTCCAAAGGGTGCACATGCAAAAAGCCAAGAGACCCACAAATAAGCTGCCACTGCACTTTTAAACCTGTACACAGAAAAAAACCCAGCGAATTAACGGATTAGTGCTAGCAGCTGCACTGCGTGGGGGTAAATACAACAGCCAAAAGTGATTAGATTCCTGAAATCTAGAAAGGATTTCAGCTCAGCCAAGAAATCAAAACAGGAGTAGAAGCAGAACCCTCTTCTGCACTTTATTTAGCTCTGAGGGATTCCCCTTCTGCTGCTCTCACATTCCCTCCACTCCCACCCAAACAGCAGCCTTCAGCTTCCTGCCTTTTGATTCTCATCGAAATGCCTGCAAGCTTCCCCTGCTGAGCTGAGAAAGCTGCCTGGAGGCTGCTTTGCCTCCAAAAAAGGAGAGTGCTCTGATCATGCATTTGAATTAATCAAATGAGATGCAATGGAAGCTGCGGCGCTAGTTGTACAAAAGAGCTGTTTTTAGAATTTCTGACAACAGGAGGCAAAGATTTGAGAGCACTCTAATGAAAAGACAAAAGTAGCAAACTCTTTCCTAAGCTTTATTTATTTATTTATTTATTTATTTAGAGATTTTTATCACAAGAATCTGATCAAACTGATCAAATTCTCATATACAGGAAGTAACAAATGCTGCAGACAGGCTGGGTCGCAGATAAAAAAATCAATTTTTTGATGATGTACTAATGGATGTGGTCTCAGAAACCCCAAAAAA